AAGGGTAGAACTAAAATAATTCCAGTATACATTACCTGAGGTTCTGGAAATGGGTTTAGCAAAACAGATTAAACTGTTTCATACTAGTTTTTGGTTTTATTTTTTTAACCCATCCTGTACTGTTTTCTGGAGGGCAGATTTTCCATTAGAACACATGATCTTTTGAAACACTACAGGAAAATTCCTCTAACTTCCATTTCTGCCACAAGGCACAGCTATCTGGCATTACTTGTCAATGGCTGAAGAAGATACCTTGAGAATGATGAAGCTACTCAGACTGAACTGTAGAACTCTGAACGGGAAATCAAATGCTATTACTTATGCTGGGTGGGAGAGAACCAGGATAAGGCCTATAAAGCCAATACTCTGTGGGACACAAAGAGTGGATATAAGTGAAGATCACACCAGCAACTAGTACCTTATAAATAAATCTTTCGTTTTCAGTGTTCACCATTGTAATACCAGATTTGAGGGTTTATTTTTCATGTAATAGACACTATGGCAGTTTTCTGAGAGTTTCATATCAACATTTTAAAAATAAATAATGCCTTACACTAAGTTTCTTATGAAGCTAATGGCTCATAGTTGCAGCTGGTTTTCTTTTTTATCTCATAACTATGCAGAAGGGGTAACAGTGATAAAAGTGTTATCATGTATTTAATGATAACTATCATGCTAGCCAGGTTATCACAAGCAAGACTCTTAGGATGTAAGTTAAGTAGGGATAAGCAGGCAGAATGCTTATTAAAGCAACCAGAAGAGCTCAGATCAATAAAATTAAGATGAAAAAAGATTGTTTTCCCTGACTGCTGTGAGCCTGGTTCTCCAGTCTAGCATTTTCATCAGTGTGAAATGGCAGTAAAGTGAATGGAGAAGTCTGAGCTGGCAGGATTCTACTCTTGGCTCATGCTCAGATGTGAATGCCATAATTGATGGCATCAGATATAAGCCTCTTTATCTTTTATTTAAGTGTAGAAAGTAAGTAATTTTAGAATGACTTGTTTATGTATTACAAATAAGCATATTTACTGAGGGGTATTTTGTATTAATTACAGCATTTTATGTTATGTCAGCTTCCAACAAGATGAAGACTGCACTGCAAATTGTATGCAGGTATTTCAGCATCTGCACCATGGTACCTGGTATCTGATATAATGTTATCTGATGATTTTTAAGCAGTTCTACTGCCTGAGCAACAGCTTCTCTTAGATACACAAACCTATTAATTTTAACCTCTAAACTAGATACAGTTAACTGCTGACTTAATGGGGCAGTGGCATCTTTTGCTGGTTGCATTTGCTGTACATGTTTATGATCCTGTCCAGTGTCATTTCCCTATATATGGAAGTCACCAGGAAACAAAAAATGCACAACATCTTGCAGAATTTAGCCTGTAATTTTATGCTCCACAATGACACATACCTACACTAATCTGACAAAATGAAAGCAACACATGTCATATCAGCTCCAAATAAATATCCTGTCTCCTCTACAGCAGCTGCATTGAAAGAGATCTGACATAATGGTGTTATATCAGCAGAGCTACTAATCTCAGATACCAGTAGTTTCAGTACCGAGGGAGAGGACACTGTAGCAAATGGAGGTCATTCAATCTCCTCTAGCACTTTGGACAAGCATGGCATTTTGGACTCTCCCTACTAATGGCAGAATACAGTGCTGATGCTAAAAATTGCTGTTGCAGAGCCACTTGTGCAGGTAATCTGCTCCTAACAGCAAAGTGTCTGTTCAGATGGGCCTGTTTATTTTGATGCTTTGCAGAAGAGACTATTTTTCTTGGAAGCTAAAGGCATACTTTAGGTTTTAGTAGTAAAAAAAGTGTCTGAGGTATCAGAAATGAGGGGCTTTTTTAGATGCTTAACCCTGTTTAGGAATACAGAATTGCTTTCTAGACCTTTTGTCTCCTTGGTATCTTATGTGACAAGTTTTGCCAAAAAAAGGAGCTGCCATGGAGGAGCTGCAGTGTTCTGGTAGGAACATGGGACAATCAGAATCCACACAGCAAGCACATGTGTCTTTTTCATGGTCCTCAAGTGGGAAATAAGAAGGATGCTGAGAGAATTTTGCTATTTTCAGTGTCATGAGGTGGCACATATGAAGAACCCTTTTCCTTGGCAACAGTTCCTGAGCCATAAGGCTGAACCTGTTTACCCAGGCGCAGTGCCATTCTGTCAGATGGGCATTGACACACCAATTGTAGAGACCCTGTGTTGTACATGCATCAGGTGTAAGTGTCCCAGATAGGATTCCCAGCAAGGATTGTCCATATGTCTGTTCATTCTAATTTTATATTCCCTTGATCCATTATGAATCCAGGTACAGGTCTGATGATGTTTCAAAAATAGAGAACAGCTTTTTTCTCCTGTAATAAGACCTCTTGTCCACTTGTGTAACAGATTGGAGTAATGCTCTAGGAGTTGTTTTTGGAAGACAAACTTTCCTCTCTGGCCTTACCAGACCATCTCCTCCTGCATTCAGAGAAATGGGAGCTTTATGAATCTTTTCCTTTCTAAGCAAAGTCCCTGTAGGATCCATCAGAGTAAATCTAGTAAATTTGGCACCAAGCTACATTTCACATGCACAGCAGAGTGGAAATCTCTGTTCAGTCACTCACTGCACTATTTTACAGGATGTTTTGCCTGAACTGGTATAAAACATTGAGGTTTCAGGGTTCAAGAAAGAGCCCGGCACTGGGGATTGTCTCCCTAGCTGCTCTCTCACAGCAACCACCTGCCTTTACTCTTGATTTCCTCACTGGTCTCAGTTTTCGGTAAACCATCAACACTCCCAGCTTTGCTCTTGCCCTGTCTTAGATATTTTACCTGGCTGTGGTACAACATCTTATTTTGCTTATCGAACTCCCTTTTGTCTGTTTCATTTTCATGTGGATTGAAGAGATAAGGATGTGGTATCTGTAGAATGTGCACAGTGATGCCAGGTCATGCTCTTCTCTGATAGCTGAAGCAGTTGCACAGGCATCCAATTATTTATTATGAAGCTTTGATAATCTAATTTTCTTCCTCATCTCCTGCAGTCTGTTCCATACCAATGCACCAGATTTGAAAAAATATGACAAAAATCTTAGTTTTCCTGATAATCCTTTTGGAATTAGCTTTACTACGTGTTGGGACTGAGGCAGAGCTGCAAAGCCAGTGTCTTTTGATTTTGGTTTTTAATTTGAACTCTGAATAATGGATTATATTTTTCTTCTGGCCCTGGCATGTATCATTTAAACTGGCTCCATAGTGGGCCAAAGCAATACATGTTTCAATTGTGTATGTTTCTATGAATGCTGAGAGTAAGCAGTTCAAATGCATGAAAATACCCATCCTACTTGAAGCCTTCCTAACTTGCCTCTATCTACATACACACTTTTTTTCACCCACTTTTAAAATGCAGTTGTCTCTGGTTGGTTGACCCAGCTTTAGCTGTGTATATAACTACAAGATGCACTTTAATGCACTGTAATTTTCTGGGAAATTTTAACTAGAAGAATGAATGCTGTGCTTTGTTGCAACTCACTTATTAGTATCCTCTCCTATTGCTAAAGCATCCTGAAATCTTCGAGGATTTCAGTTACAGAGCATAGATCATAAAAGCAACCTGCATAAGCCAGTGCTTAGATCCAAAAAACCTGCAGTTCAGACTGGATGTGAATAGTTTGCTGCTCAGATATTTTAACTGTGGGTTGGGATTTGCCATTTTCCAAATGTTTGTATAGCACAGTCCAGCACGATACAGCCATACACAGTTGGAGTTCTCTAGGCAATGATATAAAAGCTAAAATAATGAAGACAATCTCATCTGCAAACTGCAAAGAGTGCACAGTGGAATACTCCTTTCAGTTTAACATGTCACCATTCAGTTAATGGAATGAGCATCAGTACTGCAAGGAGAAATCTGCATCCACACATACCTCATTCCATTAGTGTGTCTGGATTTCTGGTAAAGCAGTGTTGGTCCTTCTGTCAGTATGTTTAATTAACTTCAGCTTTACTTTTGTTTCTGTAATTTACAGTCAGTTAAATCATAAATATTGTTTTGTGACTGATAGAACAGTATGTAATGGACCTCATCGTGTATCCTTTTTAGTCTGAATGTCAGATCCTCTTTGTAATTTTTAATGCAACAATTTTTATTATATTGCTGGAACTTTGCCCAGGGTAATTGTGTCTTGTGCATATAATATGTGATCTAGAAATGAAACTGCAACAGAAAGTTGCTAAATCCAGCATCTTCTATAGCTGCATAGTTTTGTTACAAAATTCTTGGACCTAGTGCAAGACAACCCAGCAGTTCAGTTAATGACACATAAGGCAGCTGAGCTTTCTGTAGCTCAGTGGAAGAGAGTTGCTCTAAGTATGAATATATCAAGCAAAATACAAGTGAAAGCAGAACATGTTTGTATATGAACTCTGATCTGCAGTCAGAGAATCCTAGAATGGTTTGTTTGGGTTGGAAGGGACCTTAAAGCTCATCCATTTCCAACCCCCTGCCATGGGCAGGGACACCTTCCACTAGAGCAGGTTGCTCCAAGCCCCTGTGTCCAACGTGGCCTTGAACACTGCCAGGGATGGGGCAGCCACAGCTTCTCTGGGCACCCTGTGCCAGCACCTCAGCACCCTCACAGGGAAGAGCTTCTTCCCAGTATATAATCTAAATCCCCCTTGTCAGAAGTCCCTCTCCAGCTTTCTTGTAGCCCCTTTTAGCACTGGGGCTGCTTTAAGGTGTCCCCAGAGATCCTAATTTTCTACCTGAAATTTTAAGTTTAGTGACCAGTTCTCCAGAGATGAGTATGTTTTACTGTATGAGAAAGAGGAACAAGGTTCCCTAGGATACAGATGTGTTAGTGTAATTCAATACATTGAATAAACATCACTGGGAACTTGAGGAATGGCTCTACTGTGGAAGATGATACCCTGAGGAGAGTTTCCAAAGTTCATGTAATTAAGTTCATGATTTCTTTGATTATTTCTTTCTAGCTCAACAAAATTCACCAAAAATCCATGAAGGCTGGTGGGCTTATAAGGAGGTGGTCCAGGGAAGCTTTGTTCCAGGTAAGTGTCATTTAAAAATCTTAGGTTTTAACAATTGTTTTTCATTGAAATTAATATAGTTGGTTTGGGGGGGAAATTTATTTTAGTTTTGTAATTTTGTCCATTGCAGAGATTTGAAGTATGCAACTACTCAACTTCACATTGTAGTGAAGCCTAGGAAGGTTTTTGCCAATACATCAGCCACAGACCATGGCTGTTTTCTGGGAAAGAAATCCTTTTGATGACAGTCTTGGCTTCACTCAGTAAAATTAATGTGATGCTGCTTTGTCTGTGTGTGTTCTGTGTGTAGAAGTATGAATGGGAGAGCTGAAAAGCAGTGATGTTACCTGGAGGAATTTACTTGTCTGATGCAGCACTTCTAGATAATGTATACAAATTTAAGAGTGTATTAGGAAAGGAACCTAATTGAAACATCAACCTAACGTGCAAGTTTCATTCAGTTTTGGTTTGGAAACAGGAAACTGACTGAAAAATTAAATCCTAACCTGGCTTCAATAAGATTTAGTGAATGGTAAATAATCATTAGGTAGCTAAAAGGATCTAAATAAGCAACAGCAGCAGAATTTTATAGGCAAGAGGGAAATTCAGGCTAGCAATAGCCTGACATTGCTCTGTATGGGTGCAACTCCTCCAGAACTTGTGTTGCTTGTCCTAATGCTATATACCCCTTAAGTTTCAGCTGGTCCGAGTAGGCCTTATCTTGTTATTTTTAGCTCTGGATCTCTCTAACACATTCTGGATTCAAGCTGCCTGAGACACTTGTAGGTCTCAGACTGATAATATTTTGGTTTTCACCTACATTTCACACCTGATCTTTTTGCTCTCCCTTTAAGTTATTTTACTCTTTCTTTCAAGCAGAATTGCTTAGTTGGGTCTTCACTGTTCCATTTGACTATACGTTTCCATTTAGGAGAGGAGTCAGGAAACTTTAGCAACCTCCATTTTCTGTTCAGTTGTTGAGCAGATTTGACAGCACATTCCTCATTCACTAAACCCAGAAACATTCAGTGAGTATATTGTTCAGTATGTTTTCAGTGCAACTGAGATGAATATGTATTAATTTATGTATTCTAGCTATATATTATAAGCTGAAATAATGCTTCATGAAAGCACCATGAAAATTGCTACATGATCTTCATTTCCTCCAAGTAGTAGAAAATACGAAACCATTGTATGAGCTGTTCCTGAGAATCTGTAGATCTGATCTATCATCAGTATTTTCATTGTTGTGACAACAGTTACAATCTGACAGTCATTTGAAATACCCAAAATGCTGATTATCTTGATAGGACTACTACTGCAAATGAGATGAAATATTTCAACCCACAAGTTTCTGGCACTGAAATTCTTATGAAAAGCACATAAGAAAATCACCATCTACAAGCCTGGAGCTTAATTGCATGTTGATGTAGCATAAAGTAGCTTTTCAGATTTACTTCACAATGGTTTGGGCTGTCAGAGACACTGCAGTGTATTGTTATGCCTGTTTAGTTCCTAATGTTGATAACGGGGGAAGAAGCCTGGAGAACATAATCACCTGCTTTCAAGAAGTGTCACCTTCCTGATCTGCACGACCCACATAGGTGCCCAGTAGAAGCTGAGTGAAAAAAGTATTTGCTTAACAGACCTTCTCATTATTTCAGCTTAAAGTTATTGAGGCAAATAATGTAATTGTCAGCATGTAAAGAAGCATGTGATCAGGTAATGCATGTGGTATTCTAGTCAATACAGTGAGAAATTTGGGCTTGGGAACATCATTTGGAAAGAGTTATGACTCAAACATCCAAGAAGGAAGACCTCTTAGTGTGGAGATAAACCTCTGTTCTGAGAGAACCCTGAGTTACCCTTCCATGCTGAATATCAAACTAACCTAGCACATGTCCTCAGGAATGGCTCCAGAATGCCACTGCTCACTGAAGCAGTCATGAAGCAAGCAAGGGGAATTTGGGGACACCTTTCTTGCAGACTGTCACATTTCTTTCAAATTCAACTGCAACCTGTAATCCTCAGCAGAAGAGAGAAATCCCATGAATTTTTATAGAACAAACAACTAATATTTTCAGCATCACCTAGATTTTGGAGTCTTTGAAAGCATTTCAAGCATTTCAAGGATGCATTTTATGGTTATGATCTCAGACTAACACATCACAAAGGATATATTAGTGCGTATTAAGTTTATCCGCAATGCTAGCAGTCACATATCAGATCTCACATGAGATGCTAATTAGCACCTGAGAGGTGATGGCTGTGAGGTAGTTTGATGAGCTAGAGCTGAAGTTGCTGACTGATGTGCACTGAAGCAAACAGCTATAGCCATCTGCTGAGATATTTCCTTTCCACAGCTGTTTGTCCTGTCCCAGGGCTAGAAGTTACCACCCCCAAAGATGTTAGAAAGGAGTATTCGTCCAAGACTGTCACTGCAGTTCAAAACTGACATCTAAGCTAATATGATTGACATGAATACAGCTCTTTAGTTGCTTGGGGGAGCAAGCACAAGCATGGAGATGACTAACTGGGGGTAATAGCATTGTAAAACACTCCAGGATGACTTGCTGGAGTTTGTCTGTCACAGCTTTGGCTGTGTGAATGCTTTTCGCCTACTACAAAGCAGAGTCACTGTCTTTCTTTGAACTATAACTTCTTTCATGTTTAGTTGTGTAAGACTGCATTTAGGAGTGTATCACAACGTGCCTAGGTTAGAATATGCCATTCATAATTTTTTTTGCTTAATATCCTGTTTTGGATGCATATAAGTCAAGTCCTAAGAAATCCCCTTCTAATGTAGTATGTCCACCTGGACACAGTCTTTTTCCACTGCAGACCAGCTAGGAGAGGATACAGAGAAGAGGAACAAAACCCATAGAATCACAGAATGGTTTGGGTTGGAAAGGACCTTAAGATCATCTAGTTCCAATCCCCTGCCACAGGCAGGGACTCCTCACACTAGACCATGTCACATAAGGCTCTGTCCAACCTGGCCTCAAGCACTGCCAGGGATGGAGCATTTACCACTTCTCTGGGCAACCTGTGCCAGTGCCTTGCCACACTGACTTGCCTGACTTCCTTTTTTGCACTGCTCAACAGAGAAGGGAGCAACAGTGACTGACAGGTTATCTCACTACAGTAACTGTGGCTCAGGTCTGTCTTAGTGCAGAGCCTTGCAAGTGAGGTTGAAGAGTTCTCAAGTGCAGGAAGAAAGGTGCACCAGTGGCTTGGATCTGTGTGTACACTCGTGATGCATCAAACACTCTCCCATCTCTCACCTTTTCTAAAAGCAAAGAATTGCTCCTATGATTTAAATCATGTAGGCAAACAAAACAGAAAGTAAGTAGTGCTTTAAAATGTTAATTGAATGCAAATTAGGTTCCAAATTAAACTTCAGGGAATGCTCAAGGATGAAGAACGAATACTTTTTTTTTAATGCATGTTGATTTGCATAACAACCAACTAATCTATAGTGAAAGTATTCTTACACACTTTCACTACATAGACTTTTTCTGGTATGGAATGTCAAAGTAGTTGACGATGGGTTAAAAGACATGTTAATAATCTTTTTCATATCTTTTGATTTGCTGTGACTATGAATATGAAGTAGTGCAAGTGTTTTCAGGGTGGCAGAGGCAATAATATCTCATACTATTCTGTGCCATTTCTTTGACTTCAAATAGATGCACATAACCTTTGATACTTTTGTGTGTCTGGTTGAATTGATGCTCTTCGTACTGCTCCTGGTTTTTTCACAGCATCATAAAAGTGGGTTTTGGTAAATATAAAATATAAAGGTGGTTAAATCTGATTTGTAATCATGGAAGTCACTTCCCAAAACTCCATCCTGTTACTAAAACTTTGGACTACATGTTAATGCGAAGGCAGAAGTGTTTCTTGCCCAGGGAAGACACAGTCTTCATGACCCTTACTGAATTATACCAACTGTAAAGTTACTTTACAAGCTGATAGTGCTAATCTTAGGTAAGAAGAGGAACCCATAATGAGTGAACTTTGCTGAAGGAGCAGATAATGTTCTTTTCCTTCCTTATCTAAAGTTTGTAAAATAAGTTTAATTCCAGATAAAGATCTACATCTACTGTGATTCATTATTTGTTATAGATCACCAAATCAAAGGCTACCCATTTCCCTGAGATTCTGAGAAGTCCTCTGTTAACAGTTCCTTTCACAACTCATTTAACTATAAAAGGGAAAAGACCACTAGAGATTGATAGTGTTGCTTCTGCCTTTTGCAAGGATCATGTTAATGAGATTATGCCCTAACATAGACCAGCTGGCAAACCTTCATTGACTCAAAAGGAACATGGGCTATGTTTGTGAAGCGCTGAGCAGCTCCCTCCAAGGAGGAAATGCATGAATTTGGTAATGATTTTCAAGGAAAAAGAATCCTGAAACAATTGACAATCTTGGTCATGGGTGCCAAAACCTGCTTTTAAACTTACTGCTATTACCATGAGCTTTTATTATGGCCCACACAGACAGTTCAAATGGCCCTTGTTTCTCCTCTATGGGCTTTAAGATTTCTTTTTATTATTACAGCTTTAAGATTTCTTTTGAAGTACAAATTTCTTTATGCACATGTCCAAAAGTAACCTTTGACTGTCAGGGTAAGAACCATGATCTGTTTGTTCACAGCCTGAAGCTGAGAGATATGAAACTTCAAACCCAAACACATCTTAAACATTCTGAAAGGCTCATGTATTATGCCACCCTCCAATACACAGGGGCCTGTTTCATACACTGAGACTGGTGATCATTTCATTTGGCTGCCTGAATAATACAAACCATAAACCTGCTGATTGCTCCTCCTGCATTGCTCTTATACTAACTATAAAATTTCTTCTAGTCTTATTTTGGGACTTCAGGAGGCTGCAGCATCACTCACCATCTGGTGCATTTTGCTTGTCAGTGAAAACAGTGGTGCTGTCTGAGTTACAGCAGTGTTTTAAACAGTCTGTGCACAGACACCCTTAAAATCATTCAGTCTGGTGCCA